GAGGAGAGAGAGAGAGAGAGAGAGAGAGAGAGAGAGAGAGAGAGAGAGAGAGAGAGAATGGATGACCTCCCCCAGTCACTGTCAGCACACTGAGAGGCCCCATGAATCGTTATGTTTGTCTCTCTCCTGGGGTTAATGTGGTTTTGATGAAACAGTGTTTTAACACCTGACTCGGTACAGTAAAAATAGAGAGGAGAGGAAAGGTGAGAAAAGGAGAGGAGAAAAAGGCAAGGAGAGGAAGGATGATTTAAGAGGAGGGAAGTAATGGACTTAACTGAAGCCTCTGGAGATAAGGGCACTGTCTTCTTAATAGTATATTGAGCGTGTGCGGTTACGATGAGGGAGGCATGTAATGTAATAATAAAGCATGAATAAGCTGCAGAGCTGCAGAGCACTGGTGAGCAGAGTTTAAGTTGGGCCACAGGGAGCCATCACTCCACCAGCTAACTGAACCCCTCCAACTAAATTACCGCAGCGACCAGAGGGACCTCCCAGCCCTCCCTTTCCTTTTGTTCTCCCTCTTGTTTCTCCTTCAATACTCCTCCTCCTCTGCACAGCTCCAGGCAGGTAGGTCATTAGGAAGAGCTTGCCTCATACACAAGAGGTTCAAATCCCCTCATGGTTTTGGGTCAGAGGCTTAACCCTGCATTTTAAACAGAATCAAGATGACCTCCACATGTCTGGAAGTCCACCGATCAGATGCAGAGATGATCTAAAAAAGCTGGATGATATGTGAACGGACAACCGACAAAGAAAACAGGAGCGTTGTTGAACTCCTTCTCTAAAAGGTGTGCTTTTATTGATTATTCCTCCTCAGACACGACTGGACACTACCGGCGTCCTGGAAGCTCATAGCTCACTCTACTTTGCCAATATCCTGTCACAAAGATTTAGATTCAGCTCAAGAGATGTCTTGCATCGTCCATTTGTTTGAGGTTCCTGTACTTCACGTCTTGAAGCCAAAATAACATGAATGCGGATGTCAATAAGAATCCCTCAGTCTGCTAAACTAAGGACAAACCAGCCACCTTATCTCCCTCTTCACCTCCTCAGTTTGAACTTCCTCTGCTCATTTCCAATGGGCCATTCTTTTCTCCTCCACAATGACAAGTGGGTTTGTGGCTGTGAATAATTTCATGTAGCTCAGAGTGAGCATACGAGCAGAGGTTAGCAGCTGGAAGAGAGTTCGTCCTGAGAAGATTTCAGTGCTGCTGAAAGATCACTGATAGCTGACCCTGATCTTAGTCATTTGCGTAACAGACAGAGAAAGTACCACTCAACACAGTGAAGGAGGACAGGAGCCAATACATTGACGGTAAAATGGAATAGCATGAAAAGAAAGCAGGAGAAAGACAAGAAAGCACGATGAAAATGTGACAATAGATAAGACAATTAAAGATATATTTAGCACACATTTTATTTTCTATTTGTTGTTTTGTCTGACTGCCTTTTGTTATGTTATGTTTGTTTATACTCCTGTTCTTCCTTGTAAAGCGACCTTGGGTATTATGAAAGGCGCTATAGAAATCCAAGTTATTATTATTATTATTATTATTATAACTTCTGTATGTCTTGAAGAAACCCAGTTATTGCTTTTATTATAAAAAAAACAGACTGTATTATTGGTGAATACAATTCTAGAGAAACTGAGGAAAGGAAATGATACACTTACAGTGAGAGAAGAAGAGTGTGAAACTTAAAGAGAGATCATTGGAAGAGGGATGTCTCACCCTGGAGGAGTAGGTGTGTCCATCAGATCCACACACAGGACTTGACTGGAGCCCTGAGCAGAGCCTACATTTACCATGAGCTACGGCTTCAGGCCTGTGCTTGTGTCCTGCACTGCCTTTCCTGGGTTTCACACTGAGAATGAAAGAGAGAAGTGGGGAAAATACACATACATTTAGTTATCTATCAATCCAAAGTTTGACATGACTCAGTTATTCATAGACAAAACAAACCATTACATCGACAGTGATTGAGCCAAATCCCTTCTAGTGGATGTATTGGAATTGTGACATTAACATAACATTTATGATGGAACATTGAGATGCAGTATCACCTTTCAAAGCAGGATCATTATTTAAACTAGCAGAATCCCTTTTTCTACCAACGTTTTTAAAGTATTTCTGGTTGGCAGGATAAGCAGAAGCAGAGCGAGTCCTGATTGGTCTATTGAGGCTTTTTCAATACAGAGAGTAATTGCAGTTGAACCAAATATCGCAGCAATTCTCCATGTACAGTAAGTGCTCTCACTAAACACCCTGCTGCCTCCTGATCCATCCAGCACTGCAGGAACATTGACTCATGTGTAACTATGGGACAACAGCAAATTACAGTATGTGAACATCAACTACAGAAGTGACCAGATGGATATTACAATTACAGTCATGCAACCTTTTTCCACATACACGCTCTAAAATTGTAATCTAAAAACTCCTGTACACTGTGTTGGCCTCATTTTCATAAAAAGTATTAAGTAAGAGATCATCGTTCAGTCGCTTTGAAGATTCTACGCTATGTAAAACTACAACATTTACATCCCAGGAACTTCCTCACCAACCGAGACATAATCTTAGCCACGGCAGATTAGACATGCACATTGCACTGATAATAAAACCGTGGTGGCAGATAGGCTAAGATGGAGGCACAATGAAACCTGTAGCATGCTGTTTGATAATGTTCCACTCATTTCCCCATCAAATCCCAATGCTTCTCCTCCTCTCCTTTCAAGTACTCTTTGCATAATTGCAGTGAAATTCAAGAATGAGTTCATTATTAGTGTGAATTTCAGGGCGGGATTGGTTTTGCCAGGGAAATTAGCACATGCATTTCAATTATTACCAGAGTGAGACATACCTTATATAAACATAAAAGCCTCAAACAGAAACAAGAAAGTACAACCCCCTGCTGAGAGTGTCCATGTTGCTATAATCTGGAAAGCTCTGATCTGACGGTACTACATCCCCCTCACAGCGGGACAGAGTGGGCTCCATAATATTTTGAATTATAGCTCGATACTAATGAAGATGTCCAAGCCCACAGCCAAGCATAATCACCCAGTAAGGGAAATAAAGTAGTCCAAGCAGAGCTATATGAATTTCAATAAGAAGAAGTTATGCTTTGGACTTTTGTTATAACAGTTTATACACATTTGCTCGTGGATTAAAGTACACTCCGCAGTAATACCAAATTGTGTCCAGGGCATCTTCCAAATGGAAATTATATAAGCAGTGACTATCAATGAGGAATCCTAGATAAACACGCTGCAGCTTAGTGTACCTGTATATCTCAACATCTCTTCACAATTGGTGTCAGAAGTGGGATTGACCAAGTAAGGTGTGGGAAATGACGAGAGGGAAAATAATCGACCGAAGAGAGGAGCTGCGGCTGGGGGTGGCTATGCCTGGAATTGACCAGGGGGCCACGGCTGGTGAACCAGGCGACAAGTTTGAGGAACTAAAGGAGATGATGATATTACTCATGCAGTCTCAGGCAGCCGGAGAGCAGCAGTTTTTACGGATACAGCAACAGGTATCTGAGATAAAAGAGGAACGGAGACTCCGGAGGCAAGACGCCAGGTTGGCTGAAGAGACCAGGCCCAAAGAGTGAAAAAAGTGATACAGCAGATTAAAGAGTACCGTATGGAGCTTCGGGAGCAGGACCGTCAAAACCAACAGAAGGAGGAGGCGAAGCATATCATGGAGCGTCAGCTGCTGGAGGAGCTGGAGAAACAAAGACAGAGACAGGCAGAGCTCACGGCCCAGAAGGCCAGGAAGGAGGAACTGGTAAAAATCCTGGAGGAGAATAACCGCCAGATGAAGAGTGAACTGCAGCGAGCGGCCGCTGAGAAGCTGGAGAAGGTCAACAGCAGCCTACAGCGTCACCTGCAGCGCAGCACGGAGGAGAAGGAGGAGCGCGAGAGGGAGCTCATCGGGATAAAAAAGCAGATGTGATGCAGCTGCAGCGGCTCCGGGCGGACCTCGCTCAGCTGGAGAGGTTGCAGTCGGAGGGATCCAAAACCTCAGGAGGAAATCTCTGTCAGAGCGTCAGAGAGTTTTGGAGCTGGAGAGGAAGCTCTACTCAACTGAACGGTTGCTCAAACAGACTCAGAGTGACAAGATCAAACTGCAGATCAGAGTAGGGGAGCTGCAACACAAGTATGAACCCAAAGAAGAAACAAAGAATCGGATCCCGAAGAGGAAGAAAGAGAAGCTTCCTTTCGACATCACGGCACCCTCTGAGGAAACCACGCTGCACAAGGGGCTGCAGGTTGTTGCCGTGGGGATAGACATCACCAAGATAACAAATTCAGACGCTGAAGCAGCTAATACAGCTGAGACAGAGAAGCTCCTGGTTGATGAGCATGTCAGGAAGGGATGAGGATCCGGTGCAGAGGCAGCTGAAGCTGGAGAAGGTCAGAGCCACTCCGCAGCACATAGAAGAGTCCGAGAAACACCGGGCGGAGTGGAGACCCATGGAGGAAAGCAAAATGACCAAGGCCAGAGAGCGATGCAACCATGTGCATCGCGCAGTGGTACCTTGCCTTGCAGCCATAGAACTTTATGGTCAAGTACCGGCCAGGGAAGTCAAACCTGGTGGCTGACTGGTTGTCCCGAAGCCAAGACGGTTAAGACACTGTGCTTCCTGGGGAGAGGGGGAAGGAAATGTGACGAAGGTAACTTCGTCACTATGGACCGACGGCTTCGGGCCGGGTAATATTGCACATGTGGGTTTGCACAGGACAAATGTCACTCAGCCCTTTAGTTTGCACTTTATTAGCGTGATTTGCACAGTACAGTTAAACATTGCATATTTGTATAGGCTACTATTTATTGATGTAGTATTTATTAAATGATTAAACCGTATTAAATTGGAATGTCGTCTGGCAGACGCTGGTTGGGCCCTCGGCTCCACCTGGAGGGGAGTTATAGCGAGAGCGCCGAAAGTGTTTGTTTGTGTAAGATTGACAGCGGTTGAGATTAGTCATTGTGTGCAAATTAGGGATGGGAATTTGAAAGCAAATGTATATTCGAATATTCGACCCCCCAAAAAATGGTTAACCGGTTAACCGAAATGTACATATCCTATAAAAAAAAATTGGGTACACATTTTTTTTCAGAATTTTTTTTTTTACCCAATTTTTTTTTCAATAATTTTTTAGAAATACATGTTCAAATAAGTATAGAAACCAAGTCGAATTTGTCAAATGTATTGAACTGGTGATCACAATTTAACAGCTATAGGCCTACAGCTTTCATGTGTGGAGGCGATTCACAATCAGGCCAGCTGTAGAGAAGACCCTCTCAGCTGGAACGGAGGTTGCGGGTATAGCAAGGTATAGCATGTATATATAAGTTTAATTTGGCATAGTTTGACCTCTACACCGCACTCACTAACCTGGTCGAAATATTTCCACACATTACTCCTTTTTGACGCCATGTCTGTTGTGTAGGACTTTTCTTAGAGTGTAAATAATTACCGGACTATGACTGGTAACATATGTTGAATAGCGGCAAAACTAAATCTCTCCTGTCAAAATGTCTATGCACTTTGCCGCCACACACAGTTGCCAAGCAGCGCTTATTGTTGTTTAGGCTGGTCACTCATGTGTCGCGAGTGTTGACAGGGGGCAGGGGAGCACGCTCATGAACTGTTAGCGCCGGTGTTGCAGTATAACTTGAGTCATGACAACTGGCGACATTCTATTATTTTCGTCATAGGAATCCGGGGCGTGTACATTGAGGACCCATTGTTGATTTACCAGGAAATAAACATGTCGATCGCCTCGTTTGTCGTTTACTTTAATCTTTTGCTATATCTGCCTTCCTACGATCACTTTGATGCACATTCAGTACTCGTATGTGAGGTTGTGGGTGAGAGGTGGATATCGTTACGCTTACAGGGAGGTATCGAACATTACAAAGTAGGTGACTGTGTGGATGCCTGTTCAAAATATTGCAAACTTGAATAAATCATTTAAATTATATATTTGTGTCCGACTTTCATTTGTACATCGTTCTTAATGTGATGTATAGTAGCTTTGATAGCTGTCCATACCTCCAGACAGCCTAAAAGTAAAACACAAGTTATTTATTCATAATTGAAAGAAACAGACTAAGAAATGACGTAAGCTCCATGATCAAAACTGCCAAAAAGAATTTCATCAATATCAAAACTGAGGAAAACAAAAATAAACCCCGTGAACTTTGGAAATTACTCAATAACCAGCTTGGCTGCAGTAAAAAACTCAAAACGAGATTTTCTAACTTAAACATAAAGACAGATAACAGGCTCATCACAGACAAACTGGATGTGGCCAAGTACTTGAACATTTTTTTCACAAACATAGCCACAACTCTTGTAAATAAATTACCCTCCCACTCAGGGCTTTTTGGAGTAGATCACATCATGACCTACTACAAAAACCTAGGGGTACGCAAAGATGATTTCAGTCTAGCAAGGGTAACAACAGCAGAGGTACTCATTAAACTGAGCGCCCTCCAACCTAACAAGGCCACTGGCCACGACAATATCCCCTCCAAATTCCTCAGAGACACAGCAACCGCCATCTCACCAGTCATAGCTCACATAATTAACCTCTCCATAAAACAGGGAAAAGTACCCAAAGACTTCAAAATTGCAAGAGTAACCCCCCTGCACAAAAAGGGCAGCAAATTGGACCCAGGCAACTACCGCCCTGTCTCTATACTTACCTCCATCTCGAAAGTCATGGAAAAAATAGTATATGAACAGGTCGAAAAGTACCTCGCGGAAAATAAACTAATCTATGAATTTCAATCTGGCTTTAGAACATCCCACTCCACTGACACATGCCTTCTTTATTTGAGCGACCACATCAA